TAAATAATTATATTACTAGCTCATGTCTATCGAGCTCTTAACATGTATGATATATGAGTGGTTGATATATTGTGTACCCCTAAACTTATCTGGGGGTCAGAGAACAGAACAGTCACTATATTAAACATAGAGGTTAGGCAGTGGTAGCACAGGCCTTTAATCTTAGCATTCCAGAGACAGAGATCCAGGATCTCTGTGAGTTCAAAGCCACACTGAGAACAGAGCCAGGTGTGGTGGCATACGCCTTTAATCCCAGCACTTCAGATCTCATGTCTTGCTTGTAAAAAACACAAGTCTTTAGTCCTAGGAAGTGATGGCAGGAAGCAGAAACATATATAAGGCATGAGGACCAGGAACTAGAGGCTTTTTAAGCTTTTAGGCTTTTGAGCAGCAGTTCAGCTGAGATCCGTTTGGATGAGGAGTCAGAGGTTTCCAGTTTGAGGAAACAGGATTAGATGAGAAGTTGGCAAGGTGAGTTTAGCTGGGGCTTGTTCTGCTTCTCTGATCTTTCAGCATTCACCCCAATACCTGGCTCCAAGTTTTTTATTTAATAAGACTTTTAAGATTCATGTTACATATATATGAGTGTTATTTAAAATTGTTAGACTTATTTACAAGAGTACTCACACCACCATTGAACAACATCCTTAACCAAGGATGCATAGATTTAGACAAAACATTTGGATTAGCTCTATTTGTATTTTTAAAATTGGAAAGCATCTATAGCTTTTGTTTTTATGTTTTATCCATGGATAGCTTTTCTCTGGTTTGAAATTTTACAAATTCTAATTTGCTCATTATTTTATGATATATCTCAGGTATTTTCATCATACCACATGTTAATCTAAGGTCAGAGTCCATTACGCATTTAATTTTTCAGAGTAATGACAAGCCTTCCAAAGTAAAGGCATTTTGGCTTGATGTTCCAAAGTAGTTCAAGAGGAAGGCAGGACACCTTCATTTTTTTTCTGATATGTTGAACCTTTGCAGAACAACTGGTTGGAGTTTCATAGCCTGTCTCCCACACTTCTCTTTCTGACCTATTTATATACTGAGTTCTACATTTTTGAAGCCAACTCTTCTAAAGGACTCACACAAGCTATGGATGTCACATTATTAGGCTAATAGCTGAATAAAAATGTTAAAAAGAAATAACAGACAACAGGGTATCATCATTTAAGCATTTACTGTTGGGCAGTGCATTAAGATACGGGTTGGCCAGTCACACTATGATATGGGTCTATTAATATTATGCTTTTGGCAGTTGTCTTCCAACAAGGAAAGAATGAAAAAATCTATAAGGACAAGCTCAGATTTCTAAAATGACTTGTGTAAAATTAGAAAAGTAATTTGAAACACCTGAATTAAGTCATGAAAAATCTTGGTTAGGTAACACAATTGTGAAAATTATTATCTTATATGTCAATCTAAATAGATTGATTATATCGTTGTTAAAAGAAATCCTACTATATTGCTTTATTACTTTTATTTTCTTTCTTTCTTTCTTTTTTTCTTTGAGATAGGGTTTGTCTGTGTAGCTTTGTGCCTTTCCTGGAACTCACTTTGTAGACCAGGCTGGCCTTGAACTCACTGAAATTTGCCTGCCTCTGCCTCCCGAGTGCTGGGATTAAAGGCATGAGCCACCACCGCCCAACTGCTTTATTACTTTTTAATTTATTTTTAAATACATTTTCCAGCAACACTGATATTTGTTGGCAGATGCAGAGAATTTTATTGATGATCATAAAAGCTGTAGACAGGAAAAATTGGAATGGTGGAAACGTTTGAATAAGAGAACAGAATGGCAGAAATGGCTTTGATTCCTTTTCTAAGATGAAAGTACACATTAATCTTAGTTTGATCTTTCTAGTTCCAGTGAAATACTCTAAACAACGTCTCTAATAACTGTGAACTTGTTTTGTGAATTTCTGACTGACAGTAAACCAGGACTGCCTACTCAATGTCTTTCTCTGAGTATGCTTTATTCTTATCTTTGCGAGGTGTCTCCATTCCTTCTCCACCCCTCTGTGCTCCCTTCCTCCCTCCCTCCATCCTTTCCCCCACCCCATCTCTCTTTTTGTATGTGCATGTACCATCAATGTTATTTTTATAGTTGGAGTTATTTGTGTCATTTCTAGAGCTCCTAACCAGAAGCACACATTAAGCTCTAGTAATGTATATTTATAAATGTCTGGCCTAGACTATTCAGAAAGGAACTGTCACTTTTGCAGTATGGATTCCAAAACACGAAAATGTTTGGAAGGTCCTTGTTCTGTAGCTTGGAAGCACATGGTATCTGATAATTTGAAAACTTCATGCACATTTAGTATTTCAATCCCCAAATTGTGAATTTTAAATTATCAATTAGTTTATTTCTATATATTAGATTTTGAAACATAAAATAGAGAAGACAAAGTATGAATTTTATTATCTTTTATATTCTCTAATTTCATTTGGATTTGGTTATGCATAGCCTTAAACAATAAAGTAATTTTCCTTCTGTAAATTACATTTACAAAATACAAAATAGCATTTTAAAGCAGTTATGTAGAATGTATTAAAAATTTACTTCAAAGACATTAGCCCAAGAATAACTTGTCACACCTTACAAAGGAAATATCGCTTAATATGACTATAGTTCACACCATATTTGGTCCACCTTCATTTTCATACAAGTTATATAGCCATTTCATTCTTATAAGTTCAAAATGTCAGTTGTGTAACGACAGTTTTATCCTTACCCCCATGCTACACCATCCAAGATGTAGTACATTATCTGTAAGTAGCAGTGCTGTGGGTTTTCCATTCATATTTCCTTAGGACTTAAAGACCAAACAAAGCAACAAAATATCTTCCCAGCCAGCATCATGGTTTCCTGGGAGGAATCTCATCAAAGAAGCAGCTGCTTCTACTCCAGCTGTTTATATCAAGATAAAACTTGCTGGTTCAGTAGAGAATTAAACAGAGGTCTCTCAGGATTTAAGGTCTGTAAGGTTTCCATGCTGTAGAAAATTGACAACTGCACACATAACCTTCAGATTATGTAATTTCTGCTGTAAATTTCCTAGCCTAAAATTTGAAAATAAATAATCAAGGCAGACTTCAATTTTGTTTTACACATTTTATGATTCTCTTCAACTTTTTTCAGACACATGAATTTTCAGAATTCATTTAGAGAAAGGACTCAGGATAAGTCTTATCTACTCATTAAACCAATTATAACAAAGGTTCCTGTTGGTATTTCGTAATAGTATGGAGTTATACCTTTTAAAAAGATATGCATGTAGTTGAAATACTCTAATAACAGTTATGGTTTTGAAAGAGTGATGTAGCTGGATGCAAACAATGCATATCATTTTATTTTTAGCAATTGTATAAAATACATGTATAGACACCAAAGAAAATAATTCTTATAAATTTCTTTCATGCTTTTTTGAAATAATGAATGAAAACATTAAGCACGAATACTTTTAAAATTGGTTTGTTAATGTCTTATCTAAGCTTGTTTTAGAAAATTACTATATAGATAAATTCTACTCAGGCAATGAATCTTGTAGAAGAAACAAAATGGTTTGTTTTTTGTTTAAAACATAAGGATTGATAATGTATTTTAAAACAAATGTTTGCAGTGATTCATCTTGGTAATAATTGCTTATCAAATTTTGATAGCTGAGAATTCATTTTTGTTGCTAGAGGCTATTTTAGGGCCTTTCCCCTATCACACTTACATCCAGTCACTAACAAGCTCATACTTAGTGCAACATGGTTTTGAATTGGGGAGTAGAAAAAAACTTTACAGAAGTATTTTAATATCTTCAATTGATTCAAGAATAAGAGAGATTTTACAGAGATTAAATAATTAAATAATGTTCTACTTTAGATTCAGCCTCAAAAACATACTAGATATTTTGGAACTGTTTGACTTACTACAGTGATGAGAAAAATGTCAATGCTTTTGCTCGCCAATAAGGTGCATTTATTTCTTGCAGAATCCTGAAGATTTTTCAAGTTTGACTTTAAGTTACTTCTTTATTAAGACTTTGTGTAAAAGGAGAACCCTTTAAGTCAGCTATTTTACAATAACTTCTGACTCAAAAATAGGCAAAAATCATAGTTTTAAGTTCCTAAATTAATAATACTCAAAAGTCGCCACCTCTGCAACTTTACTGTGAGGAACATGCTGACAGATTCTGTGCTGTGTTTGCCTATGAGATGATTTCCTTGAAGTCCCATAATGAGTTGTTTTTGGCAGGATTAATGAGTATTATAATGGTAAATGGATGTTTGCAGCTCAGTTGTGTTCCATCATGGAGTAACATGGGGTTTCTGGTCCCTTGGAGGCCATAATTGGTGGCATTAATGCACTTTTTAATTACACTTCTTGAAAAAAAAATGAATTGGAACCAAAACAAAAGCTAAGTGATCATCTCTCTGCTATTTCGCATGGTGTAAACAGACGACCGTCGTTGCTGCTGATGTCAGTGATTTGAATTATTCTCTTTCGATGGAACATGTGCAGTATATTTTAGTAATATTTGTTTAGAAAAGGCTGCCTTTGCTTTTCCTTATTCTAGATATTAAAATAAACTCACCAAACCTCTGATCTACATTGTAGACAAGTAAGCAATGTACTTGTATTATGAAATTTTATGTTACAGACGCATCTGAAGGTAAACATAAAATCATGGGCTCATCTCTTATGTTTATATCCCCTTCATTTGTTTTCTGCCCCTCAGTGTTAGTGTGTTGAGCAGCAGAAGAACAATTAATTCCCCGAGCTCAATAAATGAACAAAGATACCCTGAGCCATTTTTATTTTTTTCATTTCACACATATATGTGAGAAATTACCAGTAAGTGCTGCTTCAGCAATTCTACCTTTGCAGTATTATGCATGCTTGCGGTCTGTGGTGGCAATCTCCACATTGATCTACAGGACAGCATTTGCAAGGTACAACAGAGAGGGTGGAAAGCATTAGTTCATAGGGTCACATGGCATAAACATGCAATAACATAATTTTGAAATGCATAGTTATTTATAATTTACTTATAGATAACATCAACTATATATTTTTATGGCAATAATATAGTTATTATTTCACTTTTCTATGCTTTTAAATAAAGATGAAAACACTAAAATGCTTGTTTAGGGGAATGCTTGAATTTAACCATGTGTTCACTTTCATGTTCTTGCTGACCCAAGTCACAATGGTGATTATTCCTTATTCCTTAGAGTCCCACATGATGGTGTTTTGTGAATGGGTTATCCATAAGTAATACAGTGCATGGTACAAACATGCCATTGAATCAGTGGCATCTATAAAACAGTACAAGGAATGGGTGCTGTGGAATACTGCTACATTTGTCCGGAATGTCTATCTTAGGCAATGTTCACAGCTTAGATTTGACAGCATTTATGAAAAGAAAGCTTTCTTTCTCAGCTCCCTTTGGCACTAATGGGTCAGTTTGAGTCTAGCTCTTCATCAGCAGCCTTAAATGTCTGGTTCCAGGACTTTCTGGAGTTCTGCAAAGAAAAGTTACATTTTTTTTTAAGGAAGCAAAACTATAAGGAGAAAAAAAAAAGAGAAGCAGTCAAACTAAGCCCCCTCCTTAGCATTTCAGACTTGGGGTGTGTTGAGAGCTTTCAGTGTGTAGTTTTCTAACCACGTTACCTCCTAGGACCAGGACCCAGCCCTGGTTTTATGCGGATCCATTCTCTTGGCGTTCATGATGATTGAGTGTGCTGAAGTTGCTTTGTTTTTCCTTTACGAGAGTGATGATGGTGATTAATTCAGTTGATGCATCATTGTTCCGGCCTCTTTACTTTTGGAGTTTCCACAAAATGTCTTAAAATAACTAGACAGCATTTATATGTGAGAAGTCTGTATGCTTTTGCATATTATCATTCTATCTGTATCTGATGTTGTCTTGTCATCCATGCCATCTAAAAATACCAGAAAAAAGACCAAAATGCATACAAAAACTAAATTTTAAATAGATGTGCATTGCCATATATATATATATTCATATGCACACATATAAAATATAATTTAAAAGACATCCAGAGTACATTAGCTGTAAACAGTTTGCCCTCATTAATGCCTTTCTGACTTTTTCATATTATTTCACGTAAATTGTATAGTATAGCCTCAGTCTCATAATGTTAGTAGTACAAAATATTAATTGCAAATATTTCTTGAGCTATATTTTTCTCAGGAAGTCTATGAAGCAAGAAATGTTACTCATGTTTACAGATTTAAAAGATTCCTAAGTCACACATGCCACACACAAAACAAGAGCTGAGTTCTCCATGACTCTGGTTTGAGCATATGTAACCTATGTAATGGCTATGGAGAACAGTAAAAAAATAATAGCATATCATCAATTGACTTTTTGGATACATTTTTAACAACACTAGTCAATACATAGATGAATGAAATGCATGAATAGGATATTAAAATACCTTATCATTTTAATTGATTTCAGCTATTATCTAACACACATGGCTCACTTGCAAGGAGATGTCAATTCTCACTGAACTTAAGTGAGTTTGAAACCACCCATCTATCTGCGTGGATGCTCAGTTCACTGGAACAGGTCTGGCCAATGTGGAGCTATGAATGAGGTGCACTTCTAAATCCTTGGTGTGTGGGCAGCTGGAACAAGGATGAGTGCCAGAGGGTGAGCTGGCTAAATTTGGAATCCATGCTTAGTCTTTCTACTCATTAGTACCCAGAGGCAAGTAAACTCATTAATTGTGTTTGTGCTTCTGTTTGTTTATATGTAGTATTGTGATAACACTCCTCCTCCAAAAGTTGTTGTAAATGATAAATATTCACTTGAAGCATTTAGTCACTTGCAGTAAGCCTTCATAAATATATCCACTATCATCATTAAGGAATAAGTACCTCTTTCTTGGGGTTGAAAATTATGCAATAGTTATCATCGTACAACTATTGGTTTTTTTAGGACACTCTTATAAAGATACCTGGAAGTAAAATTGAAAGCATTTCTCTCTGTTAACAAGGTTATATTAGGAACATTTACTTTTAAAATTCCAATTTTGTATATCTGTCATAACAGAACATGACCCTAAAATGTCAAAGTATCTCAATAAAGCACTTGGCTGTTTTGTTTTCAGGAAACAATTTTGAAAAAGGTGAATTCTGAAAAAGTAATAAGTATATTAGAACATAATTTATCATAAATGAGGAAAATATATTTCCTCTAAACATAAATGGTAGAGATTTGTGTTTGGAATCTAGCCCTTTGGATTTGAGGCAAGTGCCTCCCCAGTCTTAACCATAGAGGCATCTTCTTTAAAACTGAAGAAAATAATCTTGCCTTGCTGTGACTTTGAATAGTGGTCCACACAAGGTGTTGAGGATGAAGTCTTTGACTTGGCAGGCACATAATGAACTGGGAGCTGTTAAGGGTTTTCATATTTCTTGTCTATGATATGTGTAAATCTTTAATAATGATGCTAATCTATCACTCATAATGTTAACTGTGCAAATTATGCACTATATGTATGTGTGTGTATATATTGCCACATATGACAATTTCATACATACAAATAGTGAATTTTGTTTACTGTATCTCTCACCCCCTCTTATTATCACATTCGTGCCTTTCTGTTGTTTTGTGACCCTCTTATATTAACCAGGACCACAGGCTTGGGAGTGTCTATTGGAGCCCGAAAGCCTTACCACTGGATGCACTACTGAAGTCAAAACCCTACCCTGCTCATCTATTGACTAATGATAGATATTGGGATTATATTATCACTTTTGTATTTTATTATATTATTAACTAGTATTCATAGGTCTTTTTGTTGAGTTAGAAAAAGGGAAAATATTTTCAAGAAACTCAAGTATTTTTGCTAAAAAAAAGTAAGCAAGTGTAGTATTAGGCTATAGTTAAGTGTCTAGAAAAGTGAACCTGACACTTTTTTAAAATAAAAAATGACTTTGATCATCTAACCGTTTTTTGTGTTTAATTTTTTTCAGTTTTTTTTAAAATCATGTGTATGTGTGTCTGTGTGAGTTGCCCACAGGGGCTAGAAGTTGATGTTAGATTGCCCAGGTACTAGATGGACCCGTGATTTTGAACTGCCTGGCACAGGTGCTGCTGACCAAACTCAGGTCTTCTTCAAGAACAGTAGGTGCTTTTAAATGATGGGCCATCTCTCCAGCCCACACCAGCCCTTTTTAATTTAAAATATATTTGTTTAATCCATAGAATTACATGTGAAGAAAATTATAAAATTACGCTCTAGATTTTGGGAGGTTTTGTTGGGGGCTTTTTAAAAATTAACATTAGGCTTTTTAAATTTTTGATAGTTTCATGCCTTATATAAAGTATTTTGATCATATTCTCATCCTACTATGTACAGTTATTCTCCTCATCCTCCTTCAGACATCCTGCCCCTTCCCAGATCCTCCTGTTCTATGTCCTTACTTGCTCGGATCTTACACAGTTAGCCACAGCTGTTGTTCTCCTTTTGTGTTTTCAGCAGCCATCTCACAGTCAAAAGACAGCAATTTCTAGTGATCTTCACCACCTGCCAGCTCTTGTAGCTTTCCCACACTCTGTTCCATGATGTTTCCTGGGCCTTGGAGTGGATGATATAGAGATCTTATCTCAACAATATTAAACTGAAGGAACATTGTATTTCTAATAATATCCTTAGCTATGGATTTTTTGGCCAGGTTTACAGAGCCACGTACGTATCACCTCCTCTGATTTAGGCCTCAGATCAAATACAGAAGCAGTTGGTTACCCCTAAAATAATCATGTCAACTCTTATACCAATGGGCATTCTTGTCTGGCAAATCAGTATTGTAGCACACAGAGTGTACAGCTGGGTGAGATTGTTTTTCTCCCCAAACACCCTGCATGGCACCTGCTGGCACTGTATATGTTAGCCAGTAGGAAGAGAGCCTACAGCTCAGTTCTAATTGATGTCTCTGTGGCACATATTCAAAATGAGTCGTGGCTTTAGCGATAAGATATGACCATATACTTGCAGAAGGCAACAGAGAGCAGTGGCAATGGCCTGTATATTTTGAAAAGTTGTTGTTGGCTCCTGGGCTAACAATTCATAGGGCTGTATCCCACACATGACAACTGCGATTTTGGCTTAAAAATCTACGACCTCTGGAACTAACATTGTCCATCTATGAAGGGCCATTCTATGTAAGCTCCAATATTTATTTTTAGAAACATTTTGTTTAGTTAGCTTTTGGAGTAGAAGGTCCCTAACAGCCTTTTAAATATATCCTTAGTTTTGTTCACTGTCATCTGTACCTCAACTTTCTCCCAATTCCCTGGCCTCATCCCCATTTAAACCTTTCTACCCCCATATTGATCCCTCTATTTTCATATCATACGTGTTTTCTGCCCCTTCAGTTCTCATTCCCTACCCCGTCTCAGAACTCTTTGCTTCCTGGCCATTACAGTCACTTCAAATTAAACACAGAAATCTAAAGATTTGAACCTAAGATTCGCATGAGAAAATAGGGTGCTTGCCACTCTGGGCTTGGGTTACTTCATTCAGTGTAGTGTTTACAAGTTATATTTCATCTCCCCAAAAGTGTTAGTTATACTTTTGTTTTTCATTAGTGCTGGATAGAGTTCCACTCTACAAATGAACTGCTTTGGTTCTGTTCCAAGTCAGTCTGCATGCCTCAACCTCTTAGTGACTGGGTTTGCAGGTATGTGGCATCAAGTCCTCCAACTCTAAGGCTTTATTTATATTTATCCATGGTTTGGAAATCATGGTGTAATATGCAGTTAATTTATATTAAATTAGGTAAGGCCAAGTTTTAGCACATTTTCTCACACAGGATTAGCTTACATGTAACTAACAACCAATACGACCTTGAGCTCATATACTTTATTGTACATTTAGAGTATGCAACTAGAAAATTAAATGCAATGACTTTTGATATTACACAACAAAATTTAAAATGAAATTTATTTGATAAAATATCAGTTTCCTTAAGCTGTTGATAATATCAAATATTTTTTTATTTTTATGATTATAATTGTAACATTTTTTCATTTCCCTTTCTGATCTCTAAATCCTCCCATATACCCCTCCCTACTCTCCTTCAACTTCAAGCCACCTTTTCTTAAACTAGAATCATCCCCAAGAACAATCTATAAAAAATCTCCTTATACTCACAGAGAAGTGTAGTCTTCATGCCCTCAACAAGGAACTTCTCTTTGCCACAAGCAGAAACCACTATAGAAAATCACAACAAACTAAGATGGAGAGTTGTAGAGCCAAGTTCCAATGCACACATCTACAAAACACTCCTGCACACAAGGCTCATGGAGCATTGATGAAGAAGGGGCAAAAAGACTTTAAGAGCCAGAGAACGATGGAGTTTGCTGTGTGATTGTGCCTCCTAGTAACATCACATCAGATTTTAACACATGCAAATTTAAAACAGTAATAACATCCGACTATTGAAATATTTACTAAAGTATAATACAAACAGTCAAGATTTTGTGCTTTATTTTATTTGTCTATTTGGTGTTGTGCCAGTGTGTGTGTGTGTGTGTGTGTGTGTGTGTGTGTGTGTGTGTGTGCATGCAACAGCACAAGTTTAGAGGCTGGACTACTTGTAGTGGTCAGTTTTCCTTTTTCGTTATGTGGGTTCTAAGAATCAAACTCAGATCATTTGGGAGAAATGTGCCTCTTCTCATTGAAACATCTTGCTGTCCCAGTAGTTTTTGGTTTAGTAAAAAAAATGTTGCATGTTATTCTTTTTAATTTTTTTTAAATTAAAATATAATTACATATTTTCCCATCCATTTCCTGTCTCCAGTGCTTCCATGTCCCTCCTTGCTCTCTTTCAAATTCATGACCTCTATTTCTTTAATTGACCTCTATTTCTTTAATTGTTTATATTTATATATATATATATATGCTTTAAATTTATAAGTATAACCTATATGTATTGATCCAGGCTGGCTGGATAATCATTTTGGAAGCTCATCCCTCTAGAAAACTATTTCTCCCATTCTCAGCATTCCTTATTTTCCTATAGTTCTTTGGCTGGCTTTGAAGCTCCACGAGATTTCTCCTTTTGTGTTAACATGCCTGTTGATATAGCCCATGCTCAGGTGTTATTTAGGCAGCCATGTTGATAAGATGTCACAACTATGACTTCCCTGTATCAGGCATTATTTGTTACTGTGACAAATACCTGAGACAACCAGTTTAAAGGATGAAAGGTTTGTTTTGCTATTTTCAGGATGTTAGCTTATGCTTTCTAGCTCCATTGCTTTTGGTCTGTGGTGAGGCAATACATCAAGGAAGGAGAGCAAAGTGGAGAGATCCATGTACCTCTGGTAGGCCAGGGCGCAGAAAGAGACACAAGGAAGTTTCCTAAGATGAGGTGTTGCCTCAGTTGCGTTTAGATGATTTTAGAATCACTAAGTTGTAATCTGAATATCATCAATCAAACACACTAACATTAGTCACACTTTTATTAAATCTATTTGATGTTAATAAAGACTTTAAATTTTATACATAATGTATCAATAAAGGAAAGCCTGGGTGTTTTTGAGGAATAAGCTGAGATCAAAACTATCTTTCTGTCTTGGGGCTTTTTATCCATGTTGGGCATATAATGTATGTTGTGATTCATGGAATATAGATGAGGACAGTTATTTCATTTATTTATTTATTTGCTTTCCAAGGGAATAATGGCCCTGAGCATGGAGCCACACATCTTGCATAAAGGAAGCTTTTAATAAATGCTTGTTGAGTGAATATTGAATATATTTACATAATTGACTATGAGTTGGTGTGATTTCACCACTATAAAATTTAAAATAACATAATTTGGAAACTTTAGAAAATGATTGTGGAAATTAAGAGAAATGTGTATTTTTGTTTGGTTCATGTTACTGAATTTAAAAATCATATCATGTAATTCTATTGGCAGTTTAGATTTGCATCCATCTGACATCTCAAGACTTTCCACCATATAGATAGTGAGGTAGATAAAATTAACTGGTGCATTTTAAGCCCTTGCAACATCCAGAAAATCCTTTTTTTTCCAAAGGCTAAAATAAGAATATGTTTGCCAAAGAATTTGTTGGAAAGATACTCTTACAGACTATTCCTCTGAGTCTTAGTTCACACAGTGCATGACTAGACCATGTGACCATGTTCACAGATGTGTATTCTTATGGTTGCCACTCCTGTATCATGATTGTATTTTCTATTAGTGCTCCTGAATTCCAGATAACTATTTCCTCTTTCATCATAAATGCTCAAAATTCAAGATAAAGAACTATTTACCAGTGTCCCCCCAGACCTAGGTTACTTTTTGTTCATGAGTAAAACCACTTCAAAATAAAACTCATTTGAGGGAAAGTGATCTCAATAAAACAGTTTTCAAGATCATAGGCTTCTCTAGTTTTGTTTTCATTTTGCTCATTTAGGCTTGTGCCCATTTTTTATTGAATTTATTTTGTTTTTGTTGTTGTTGTTCTTTGTCTACTCTCTGAAGAAATTGGGTTATAGATGATCAATAATAATCTCCCCTTTCCTTGTGGCACTGGATGGGAGTCAAAGCTCTGTTAGCATGGAAATATCCAATTATCTGATAAGGTTTATAAAGGGAAGCTTTCACTTAATTTGTCTAATTCACAAACACATCTGACACCACCTATAAACTAATAGCCATATTTATGAATCAGCTAAGTTAAGCATTGAGTAATAACATGCAGTCTGGGAGCTGAATTTAAATTCCTCTTTTAAACTCTCCTCCTACAGTGAGTTATGTGGGTTTTCTTTTTTTTTTTTTTTCCAACAGACCTCTTCTAGCATGCTCTCCTATGAGGATTAGGAAATTCAAATTGTACTTTTCAGCTTAAACAACTCAAAGTCCTCTACTTTCATTATTAGCTCTCTTGCCTTCAGCCCCTGTTTCCAGGACAGTTTCTTCCTCTGGAAACGACACTAAGTGGATGATCCCCAGGGCTCTTCACATCACTCCCTCTAGGAGAGGCCACAGTCGCTGGCTCTCTGTGTCCATCTTAATGACTCCTTTGGGTTGCTGCCATGAGTATACTGTCTCATCACTGTAGCCCCTGTGCTCTGGGCTGCATGAGCTCTGGAGTCCCTTTCTCTTAAAGATTCTGCTGGGAATAGCTGGCAACCTAGATCACTGATGACTGATTTCATTTTTATACCTTCTGAGGAATCAAATAATTTTCCTTCTTTTGAATACTGTATTAATTACTATTTTGAAAAGAGAAAAATACAGATTATTACGGTGGTGTCACCACTAAGTTGGAAGAAAAAAATTGGAAAAAAGTATCTAATTTTTTCCTTTTAATAAGAATGGTGACACCCAAAGGCCCTAGAAATAATCAAGTAAATGTTCATTCTGAGGGTTTTGAGGCTCAACTACACAGCTGTGGTTTAACTCTTGTCGATTATAGGGCAGTCATATAACTTGTTATGTAACTCTAGGTAGTGCCCATGTAATATAAAATGAAGATATTCTAGGCACTAAGTAATCCCAGCTATATGTAGCTGCTATAAACAAGATGAATGGAGGCAAGACAGCAGTGTGATGCCTGTTTTGTGCTTTGTATTCTTCTCAGGATCATTGCTCATCAAGCAACATTTCTAACCTTCCATTTACTTAAGCACTGTAAGAACTACCATTCTATTACACAATTCAGTAACCAAATTCAGTGCTCTTGTCCTGTTCTTCCAAGTTTCTTCTTCAGCATTTAATTTTTATTCTCATACAGGTAAATAAAATTTTAGAATATCCCCTAAAAGTGATATGAAAGTTAAAATTACCTTTAAAGTTCACATAAATTTATCAACCAAATAAATTTTTTCATGCAATAGATTTCATAAATATTAGTTTATTGATCCATGCTTGCCAAGAATTGTTTGGGATCCAGCAAACATAAGATGAACATTATTCTTGAAGATTTCAGTAGTTTCATTGTATTGACAACACCCTACAGGAAGTTAGGCAGATAACACAGAAGCACACAGGATAATAAATCACTTAATAAGATGCCATGTTGGTGTAAGGGTAAAGGAATAGAAACTGACTTAGTGGTGAAGGGAAATTCACTAGAGTAATGATATTTGAACTATAGAACCATGTGTGAGAAAGATCTGTGGATATCAGGTCCAGTACAAAAGCCAAAGATGAAATGGACTTTGGTTTTAAAAGAAGATAAAGAAGGCAAGGTGGTTAGCATCATTGATGTTAAGGGAACCTGGCAGAGCTGGATGCTACATGGCTCAGACTATGTAAGAGTTTGGATCCTATTCAAAATAGAAGAGAAGCTGTTGTAGAATTTAAGAAGAAAAGTGATAAAGTCTGATTTAGGTTTCAAAATATTTTCTAGATACTGTAGGAAAGTAGAGGTTGAATTTCAAGGAATATAAAAAGAGCTATTAGGAGGAATTCACCATTGCAATTTAATACATGATAGTCTAAATTTGTGTGTAAGTAGCAATGTAAATGAAGAACATTGGGCAGATTCTAAACACATTTTGGAGATATATGTAATGGGCATTCTTGACTGGCTTTATATGTGTGTCAGGAAGGGAGCAGCATAAAGCAGTGATGGATATAAAGATACCAGGTGCTCCAGGGCCTGGGAAGACAGCGATGCTATTCCTTGAGACTGGAAAACCTTTCTAAGAACTGCTCTCGGGTTAAGTAAATAAGCATTGAATATTAGCTTGTTTGGTGAAGAATCCTGTGATATGGATCTGAAGATGTACACCAACAGCATATGGATAGTATTTAACATCTGTGTTGTCATAGGGAGAGGAAAAATGAGAATTAAGGTGGCTAGTAATTAATAATAACAGGTAAGTTTACAAAGAAAGTGATTCCTGAATCATTCTGAATCACTGATACATGTTTAGCTTATAACAAAAATCATGTTTCGTATCTGCCAAAAAGGCCGAATCATCTACATTTCTTTTTTTTTTTTTTTTTTTTCCGAATCATCTACATTTCTAATAGTAGTTATAAAAGTCTAAATTTTCTATAGCCTTCCTGATAATTGGCATGATAAATTCTTACTGAGTTTAGCCACTGTGGTAAGGGACATTGGACTGTGCTTCAAGCATGTGTTTCTGCGATGATCATGAATTTGGTTATCTCTGTGCACTCTGACTTGCTTTGTTTACCTTTTTGGAAATTGGGATGGTTTATTTTGTCAACTGGACACAATCTA